TATTAAAACTTTATTATTAATAAAAATAAAGCAATTATCTTTAATGTGAATATTTTTTTTGTGTGTAAGTAATAAGCACATTCGATACTTCTGTTTTCAAATAGCATTAAAGAGGCTGCTTATCTGACTACAAAGGAAACAAGAAATAGAAAAAAGGCGATTCATTCTCTACAGAGACAATCTAAAGATTTTCTATTAAATTATTGAATAGAATAAATATTATTTTGAAATTTTACCACTACAAATCATCTGCTTTTTGATCTGCAACTACTGGGAGTAGTTCCTAGTAATGTTTCAACTGAAGGTCCCCCTAATAATTTCTCCCTAATGGCCCATCGAAGTCGTAGGTGATTATCTTCCCCTGGTAACTTACATTTGGACCACTCTTGCTGATAAAATTGATACCTTGCCACAGGGTCACTTCTAGCAGGTTTTACAGTAACTCTAGGTCTTATAACTGAAACATTGCATCAGAAAACATAATTTTAAACTTAAGACAATGCAATTCTTATGAAATAACATTCTAATACAATAATTTCAAAAAAACTCAATAAGAACCAACAACGAAACTTTAAAACTAATTTGTCAGAAGAAATACATATATTAAGGGAAAATTATACATACTCTGTAGTGTTTTATTTGTTCTTATATAACTTCTACTCAATAAAAACACATTACTTACATGATGATTTTGGTTTCAAATCACTCCTAGAGCTACCTATGGTCCTGCTTCTAGTCCTGCCGGTACCTTGTGAATAACAAGATTTAACTTCACTTGTAAAAATATTGGACTGCCCTATAGAGCTTTCACTGCCTTGAAAGTTCTTGTTACGATGTGTTACTTTAACAACTCCAGACATTTCTTTGCCTCTCAAGTTTAAATCTAGGCAGTCATTATTAGAAGAATCTGCTGACAATGCAGACGATCGTTGATACACCGTTTCTAAATTACCAGTAAATAATGAGCACCTTCTGCTTGCTTTATTATTGCTGGCATAATCACATACTTTCATAGGACTACTTGCTTGGTCACTAGTTTTGTCTGGCCTCACACTGCAAATTGAAATAGGAACTGCACTATCTGTTCGATATTTTGGCCTTTTAATTTCCACTGTTATACATTTTGTTGTTGGGTTTGGTTGGTGTTTAGATTTCGCTTTCGCTTTACAAGGTGAGGCTGATAAAGAATCCTGGGCATTAGTCTCTCCTTTTTCGGTTCTCTGATGTTGTCGTTGGTCATACTTAATTAATTTCTTTAAATCTAAATGTATGATAGCGATAAAATATATTGTGCAGATCATATATCATACTGTACCTTTCATGAATTCCTTCAATTGCACCTGAGAAATATTCTTGTAGCCTAACTCATTTAAATAATACAACACTTCACGGGCATCTATTTGGTTAACCATTTTATGGAATAATTACAAAATTATCATATGAAAAACTATATTTTTATTTATAATAATAAGTTAACCAAAAAAGCACAAAAACGGTTATTATCTATAGGCAACACACAATACATAATTTTAAATTTAAGATTATTGTGGCTAAGCAACCTACTTATGTAACTTATTTATAATAAATACTCTATAGATAATATTAAATACCATTTTAAATATTCGTAGCTAACAGTACAAGCTTTAAAATCTCGTAATTACGTAATTGTAATGGTGTAGATAACTCTTTATAATTGGTCTTGTTATTTGTTAATGAAATAATCTGTTTGAGGTCTAAATCTTTAATGCCCTCTTCATACGCTGCCCTTAAAGACGACTTTGATAAGTGAAAAAGATTATCTACGGCACTTTTAAATTTTTTCAAAATTTCCCTAAAAAAAATATAAATCTAATTACTGATTTTCTTTTGAAACATATAATTAATTTACCTCTNTTTCTTTTGAAACTTATAATTAATTTACCTCTTTTTGTTGTATTCTGCTGAAGTATCTTCGAAGTTTTCCATTAAATAAATATTAGTTTTAATATGCAGTGGTTTTGCCTTAATTATTACATACAAAAGGATCGCTGAAACATCCCTCTCTTCCACAATGGGTATTTGGAGCTCGGAATCTAAAAATTGTATTCTATATTCTACATTTTTGAAACGTGTATCTATCCATCTGTACCTGAATTTATGCAGAAAATTTTAATCAAAAAGTATTTCAGATCAGCATAAATCAAGTCAAGTGTGGTACATATACAGTTCAATTTCTTTATAGGAGAGTCGTGATTGTCCAAATTTGCAAATTCCGTTATCTAAAAGTTAAAAAGCAACACATAATAAAAATTGTCTTTAGGGAACTGTGGGACTTATTACAGCTGGTAAAAAGTCAAGAGAAAATTTTGAAGGGGCCCCAAGTTGATCAGCGGAAATATTTAGATCACAAAAGGTCTTGCATTTTCTAAAAAGTAGCTCGTCTTCTTTGTTTAGATTATACTGCAACTCATTCATGTTCTCACTGGACATATTTGGGTTGCCTACATCCGTTTGATGCACTTTATTCACTTCCATATTTAAGGCGCCAATTTGTTTTTAAACTATTTAAATTGCATGATTTAGATAATTCCTTTTTAACACTTGAATTTATTGTTAATAACAAAAATTTAAAAGAGCACTCTCAAATATGATTAAACAAACAAATTATGAGATTATTTCGTGTTTACACTTACTTAATTATATTCAGTACCTTTTTTTTAATTGATTGCAATTTGTTTTTATTTAAACAAAGAATATTTGGTTTTTAATAATTCTCTACTTAAACTAGTAAAGGTTCTTCAATATGACGACTGTTTCTATAGAAATTGTTAATCAAAACACTATTTCCTATGTTTGTATTATCTGACTAAAAAAATCATTAATTGCGTAATATTTGTTCTTTTCAAAAATATGGACAATGAAAATAATGTTAGTTCAATTTCTGAAGGAATATTTCCAAAACATTTTCCACCCCCTAGCACATACATGGGTGCGTATAAATAAGATAAGAACTAAATGATTTAATGTATAACGAATATTAATTTATTTTTTTTTTGTTTTCCTAGAAAACGAAGTAATGTCCAATTTACCCCTTCAAATGGCTCTATATTTCAATGTACTGTTTTTTCCGTTTTGGTGTTGTGTATTAATTTATTTTTTAATACTAAAGGTAAATCACAAATCTTTAGGTGATTATAAAAAAGCTACTTTAAAAGAAGCTAAAAATCCGATAGGTAGATATAAAAATGTATCTAATTTTTATTTTTTAATTATTTCAGCATAGTAATTATTCTGAATTGTACCAATTCATTACAATTACTGTATTAGTTGCAGTAATATTAATCGAAATTTTAAGATTATTTATTGGTTACGAAGGAAATCTGAAAGATAAGGCAAGTCTTTCAAAATACCTTAAAAATTTTTTTAAAGTCTGACTAAACAATTCACGTGCAGATTCCGGAATTGGCTGGTTTTTGGATGCTTTCGTTTTTATTACAGTTCCCTCTTCAGGGATTTCTGCTATTAAATCCCTATTTCAACCTACATGTGATTGAAACTGTGTGCCAATCAATTATTTTTATTATGCTCATCTTCCAAATAATTTTTGGCTACATAGCGTTACGAAACACGACGAAAAAGCAAGCAGCATATTATAAGATAGTGAAACAACTGACACTGAAACAGAACTGAATTGTTTAAAAAGAAAAAACAAAAAAAAAGGAAACAATAAAAATTTTTTGATTATCACAATGGTGTTATTATTCTGCATATACCAGGGACATTAATACAAAGTTCATGAGACTATTTACACTCTGGAAGCAACAGCTTCAATATCATATCGATCATAAAATTCAATTAGATGTACAATACATTTTTCTAAACCTTCTGAGTATAACTCCATTCCGTCAATTATCGAAGATTCATCTTCATTTTGATCAACAGTTAAAATATTGAAGAATTCTCTTCGAGAAGGGGAAAATCGTATCATAATCTGTTATATCACATGTAGAATTTTAAATTAAAAAAAAGAAATAATAAAAAAGTATCTCACATTAAATAAGTGCGATCCCATCCATCCATGATATGATTGTAAAGTTTCTGAGTAAGCAACTCTTAAATACGATGAAAAATTCTGTTCTACAATGTCAACATCCGCATCTTCGATTATTAATTGCAAAAACCGTAAGATGAAGTGTAAATTTCTGGTTAAATTGAAAAAAAAGTTATTTTAAAAATACTGTTTAATATAAGCTCACCGTCTAAGCCATTCCAAAGAATCTTTTATTATGAGTCCACCTTCTGCTTTTTCTCCAAAAAGCATGTCTTCCAAAAATCTATTCTTTCCGGGGTTTTCATTGTATCTTTTATAGATTTTCTGCAAAAATTAACTCTTAACATAAAGTATTTCGAATGATTCGTTGATCTTACCTGAATATTTCCTTGAATATCGTTGCGAATGGACGCAAAAACTTTTCCAAACTTATCTGAAATTTTATTTTAAAAACGTTAAAATTGAAATACCAAAAACAGTTATACCAATGAAGTGAATTATGTCGCTCGAAGCAGCTAAAAATTCTTTCGTGTTAATTTTATTATCAACCAACGACGGAAATTGTTTCAAAACCGAAATAAAATATGTTTTATTTATCACATTTTGCGAAACAACTTCAATTTCTTCGTTCGTTGTCATTTAAACGCTTTATTACATTAAAAACTAGTCAATTTAAAACAATAACTGTCAAGATAATGACAATTAATTACATAAAGTTTAAATCAAACAAATTACCTTTTCAGTCAGTTTTGTTTTAGTTAATGGCCTTATCAGTAAAAGCTCTTTAAATAATTTAAATTTCAATTAATTGTACAGTACCCCTATTCAGTCTTTAAGGAATTACATTTTGTAAATTTGTCCTTAAATAAATAAACAATTTAAAACAAATGTTTTATTGCAAATAAACTAAAATAATACATTCTCAGTATATTTAAATTTAAATACAGGATAAAAACACAAAATAAATAAATATATTCTCTTCAATATAAAGCGCAACACTACATCACAAAAATTTGTTAACAGTTTAGTTTATGAGAGACTTTTAAAGTTTCTCCTGCATTATCAATGCAAAATATGGTGACTTCATTAACATCAGATCCACTAAGTTCTTCAATTGGGATCTGAAACTGATATTTCAACACTTTCTTGTCAAATATCCAGTGTTTTATCACCAATTCTTTCTCTTTACTTCTCAATTCTACTACTCGAATACCAGCTAAAGACCTCAAGAGATGCATGCTGGAGTTAAAGTTAATCCCAAGCGAAATGTTCTTAAAACTATTTAACCATTTGTGATAATTTAGGATAGAAAGACAGTTTGCAGTCCAGTTGAAGTCAAATTCACTTAAATCTATATAAAATTTTCCCATCTCCCTGTTCTTGTCATAATCATCCTTTATAAAGAAATCTTGGATATTGTTAAACCCTCGACCCATAATTCCCGTCCTTGTATGTCCTAAATCCAAGGTATGGCACAGCTCATGTAAAGCTGATCCTAATGTCGTTGAGTAGCAACCTGCAATAGTTCCTCTGAAAGAATTATTATTAATCACCTTTTAATCATGAGCCAAACTCTAACTAACCGGTAGCAACTATCATCTAAGAACTGTGATTTATTAACTACACTTTCATCCTTGAATCTATCTAGAACATTAGAAACATATTCTGGCCATGTGTAAAGACAAGCACTTCCAAGCAGGGCTAATCCACCTCCCCCAAATGCTACATACCCTTCTGCTGCATCAAATATGTTGTTAGATACAAAACCTTTATCCTTGTTGAAATAAGTGCAGGATAAGAATGCTAAATACTTTGTTTTAGAACTGCCTATGGACGAATTCATTATTTCCTTGGCAAAATACTGCCACAACTGTTCCTGATTTGTTTTCCGAGCCTCTTGATAAGTTAAATTGCTATTAAAGACACAACAACCTGCAGAACTTAATTCAAAGGTTTTTCGACTGTGACCAACCATTTCAAGCAGTTCGGCAAAAATCAGTTGCAATATCTTACACCCGAGCGTGATTCTTTTGCAAGCACTTTCAGCAGAGTTATTTTCATTCGGGGGACTTTGAAATCTACCATCACTTCCATTACAAACAATGTATAAAGGTTGCACAGTGAAATCAGTAACTCTGGGACTGTACTCCACAACTATTTTGGCAGAAGAGCACGCACAACTTATCTTAATATAATTTTTACCTATCTGCAGTTCAATAAGACTTTTTATTGAACTGTTAATGCATTCAACAGGATATATTTGTGTTTCTTTATCATGGGTCACACAAGAGGTTATACTTTTTAAATTACATTTTACTCCACAGTTCTCTATTACACCCTTCAAAAACAATAACGAGTGTGGGTAGCTACTATTATTATCTATATTATAAAGCACAATTCGATGAACATTAACCATTTTATTCACAATTTAAATTAAATCAAAGGTGTGGACAATAATGCTCGCTGCTGTTAAGATGAATGAAATACTAAATAAACATGGGTTAATTCAAAAGTACGTTGGGAATATATAAAATAATAACAATAATATACGAGTAATTACTTACAAGAATAACAATTCAGTATTTATGTTTAATTAAAATTTTAAATAACAGAACGGCGGCCATCACAAAACTGCTCTGGCCATCTATATTCACAATCGTGTAGTTTTAACTCCATTTCTATAGAGATTGCCTAATTGATACCCTTTAATGTAGCTACTGTCCGGTAGGTAACACGAGCTGTTCTATTTAGCAATTATTTTCAAAAATTAGTAATTCACCATAACAAGAAAGTAGAAATACAAATAAATCGATAGAAACTGAACTTAAAGCTTTCCTTTTTCTAAACAGTTAACTTATCGTACTAAAAACCTACCAATATGATATGCTTTCTTAAAAAATTGGAAATATAACGACAATAAATCAATGAATTTTGTTGTAAAAGATTATTTTTTTAAAAATATTGTGTGCACCTAAATAAAAACTGTGCTTTTTATTTAAAGAAGATCCTTCTAAAAATAAAATAAATGCAATCGACTTCATTTATATATTTCTTGCATATTAAAAACATCGAGTCTTTAACATTCGATTTGTGAATGACCTGCTGTATGGTCACCATTCGTAGGAAGAAGACAAACGGCACGTAGGCTACGGCGGTATCAGAGGGTGAATGTGTCCGAACGTCCTCTACAGGAAGTAAACAAGGTTGCATTTTTACATAATATTATGTTTTAGTGTTCAACAGTGTGAATGGACCTCTTTTTTCAAGTTCAAACTATTCACTCTTCATTTACACGATTTACTATTTACTGTAATTTCATCCATAAATTAAACTACATAGTAGCGGCCGTGTAAGCCCAATTATCAATGATACCTTTTTTACATAATATTTCATACAATGTGTGTGTCTTCTCTCTAAAACTTGTTATGTTCATTGCCGAGGAAAATTAATAAAAGGAAAAAGTAAACATGTTTTCTTTACCACTAACTTCTCGTACAAAAAAAAGCAACATTCATACTTCTATATTTTTGATTGATTCATTGATTCATTCTCGTTATATTTACTATTTTTGGTAAATTCACTTACCCGTGTTTAGAACGGGGCACCAATGTTTGCATCATTTCTGCTAAAATATACTAGTTCTTGCCCCTATCAGTCACTGTGAGCTCGAAACTATTAGCACCATTGCTTCGAGTGGTCGAAATTCACTTTTGTAAACAAAACTATGACGTAGTGTCGGCCATCATTTTTTTAATTGTTGCTGTTGTCGGCCATCATTATTTTCTAATTGTTGCTGTTGTCGGCCATCATTCTTTTCTAATTGTTGCTGTTGTCGGCCATCATTCTTTTTCAATTGTTGTCGCATTGTCACTGATGTCGGCCATTATGGTTTTTTAATAGATGTATAGTAATCAATGATTAAAATTTAAAGG